CCTTCCTTCCTTCCTTCCTTCCATTCATCCATCCATCCATCCATCCATCCATCCATCCTCCTAGTTTTTCTTGCTCTTCCCAATTTGTTAAACTCTATCCCTTGCAAGACACTCTCTCTCCACCTGTAGCTTAAAATCCTGGACCTTTTCCAAGATAAAATGGTTAAATACCTGTACAGGTAAGTCCTCGACGTAATGATCACAAGTGAGCCCAACATTTCTGCACCACAAGACAGTTGTTGAGTTTCGCTCCCTTTGGCCACCCTTCTTGCCACAGCTGTTCAGCGAATCACTGCAGCTGATAAGTTGGCAACACCGGCAGTTAAGTCAATCTCACTTCCCCATTGACTCTGCGGGTCAGAAGTAGACAAAAGAGGATCAAATGACCTCTGGACACTGCAACGATCATAAATATGTTTTTACCTGTCACAGGTGTGACATCTATATAAAATAGGTATATAAAAACACGCGCTTATTCGAATGCAACGTTGTGTCAAAATTTCAAAGCAATCGGTGAAGAACTTTCGGAGATTTAAGATTTTGAACAAACCAACATTTACATTTTTATTTATATAGATTTCTAGTTTGATATTATCCTGGTGCTCGTATTTATTTTTATTTATTTTTTATTGCATGGCTTTACCCAGGATTCGAATTTTTAACGTAATTTTTAACATAATATTACACACACACACACACACACACACACAGAGAGAGAGAGAGAGAGAGAGAGAGAGAGAGAGAGAGAGAGAGAGATGTGCATACAAAATTTAGGGATTTTGCAGCTCCAAATGGCCATATTTCAGGTGACTCACGGCAAGGGTTGACTTCACAGAAATCTGCTTTGCCCCCCCCATCTGTTCTCTGCCCCCCCAGGGAATCCCCCATGCCCCCTCCCCTCCACCTCCCCCAAAGAAGATACCCAAACCTTGGGGATAGCTCTGCTGTTTGGCCTCCTTTCTCTCCATTTCCCTCCATTTCGTGCCTGGACCATTTCCTACCTTTCCTCCGTAATGCCATCTGATGACTCACGGGTCTGTGTTTTGCTTGATTCTTTCTCCAAATCGGCGGTGCCTACAAGGGGTGGTCCCAAAACCTCAAAGCTCTGCCCCTTTTTCAATTTGTGATGTTTTTGCTTTGTTTTGTTTTGTTTTGTTTTGACTATTCCCTAAGTGCTCAAGTCTCCACTTGCTGGTTGTCCTGTCCTCCATAGACTTGGTCCTTCTTCTTAGAAGGTATCTGCTATCAGGGGTAGGCAACCTTGGCTCTTTTATGACTCGTGGACTTCAACTCCCAGAATTCCTGAGCCAGCCATGCTGAGGGGAAAGGGAGAGGTTTCCAAGCTGAGCCATGCTGGCTCAGGAATTCTGGGAGTCGAAGTCCACGAGTCATGAGGGGACCATAGTTCCCCCATGCTGGCTCAGGAATTCTGGGAGTTGAAGTCCACGAGTCATAAAAGAGCCAAGGTTGCCTACCCCTGTGCTAAATGTATATAGGTGATATCTTTTCTCTGCTCTTTCTATTTTAAACCAGTCCCTGCTCCTCTTTTCACATCAACTTTCAAAGCTTTCTCAAAACCTTCTGTGTTCTGCCATTGATTACATCTCTATAACCGATCTCTTTTGGGTCGTCTCCTTCCTTCCATCTCACATCACCTCCTACGTCCTCTTCCCTTTCTCTCCATCTCTATGTCCATATCCAGCCCCATCAGGTAGGACTTCATATACTTGATTAATTCCAGCTTCCAGCAACTTCTGGGAGCTCAAATCCACAGGTCCTAAACTTGCCAAGTTTCTTAAACAATTGTTGTCACCAAATTTAATTCTGATTTCCACCTGTCCTTCTCCAAGGAGACCTCACCATTACACCTTTAGCCAGTGGTGGGATTCAAAGATGTGAACAACCGGTTCTCTGCGTGGATGCCACTTCCGGAAGTCCGTTCTGGGCCTGGGCAACAAAAAATTAGCTGCCGGTTCTGCCGAAGTGGTGCAAACCGGCTGAATCCGATCACTGCCTTTAGCATTTAGTGCTCTTATCACTGGAGCTTTTCAAGAAATGGCTGAAGAACTATTTGTCCAGTAAGGACTTCTGCCTTGGATGGGGATTGGACTAGAAGACCTCCAGGATCCCTTCCCGCCCTATGATTATACTAATACACAAATAAAATCCACGAATCAAGGAGAGAACCAGCCTAGAACTAAGGATCTGTGGAGATTCTCAGTCATCCAGATCATGGTTGTCCCAAAGATGCTTTTTCAAAAGGCAACTGTACTTTCTTGTTTTTCTTTGAAGACGTTTTTGCTTCTCATCCAAGAAGCTTCTTTAGCTCTGACTGGATGGTGGGGGAATGGAAGGATTTCTACTCCTTGCAGACAGCTGGTCGTTTGCATCCTTTTAGAGGGTCGTTGAGGCCACTTGGAGGTTTATTAAAGTCCACATTCTGGACAGAGAGGACCGCTGGTTTGAAAGAGGGTCAAAGATGCCATCTGTGTCAAAATTGAACGGCTCTCCCTCAACAGAGGTTGAGGGATATGGCATCATCTATCTCCAGTCTACAACACAATCCTTTCAGCAGTTCCAAGAAGGCTCCACACCCATTTGCACCACTCAGGTGACCCTGAGGACACAGACACACCTCCAAGTGGCCTCAGCGACTCTCCAAAAGAGCACAAATGACCAGCCGTCTGCAAGGAATATAAACCCGTCCATTCCCCACCCTCCAGTCAGAGCTGAAGATGCTTCTTGGATGAGAAGCGAAAGGTCTTCAAAGAAAAACAAGAAAGTCCAGTTGCCTTGTGAAAAAGCCCCTTTGGGTCTAGAACTAAGGAGAAATTTCCTGACAGAACAATTAACCAGTGGAACAACCTGCCTCCAGAAGTTTTGGGTGCTCCAACTCTGGACGTTTTTAAGAAGAGACTGGACAGTCACTTGTCTGAGGTGGTATAGGGTCTCCTGCTTGAGCAGGGGGTTGGACTAGATGACCTCCTAGATCCAACTCTGTTATTCTGTATTCCATCTTTTGGGCTTTATGGATATACAACATTCGTTCAGCAGCACCAAATAAACCTTGAGACCACTCACAGTTGAGGGCAAACATCAAACAAGTTATTTGGCTTTCTTCTGTCCACTTCTTAGAATTGCTAAACAGGTCTTAGCTTACTGAGGTTGCTGGTCTTCGTTCTCATGTAAGGGGTCTCCACTAGCACCCAAAGGTGACCTTCACTCTTAACTAATGTTTAATTTAACCCAGATCAGGCTTCAATGAAGAAGAGACTGAAGATAGGAACAGCCAGATACATAGCGTGACGGGAAGGTCCATCAAGATGGCGGGATTGATGTCCTACCTCTGTTTTTTAACATTTGTCCCACATGTGGTTTCACATGTGCAGTTGTGCCTGCCTTGCTGACATTTCTGACCCACACAAAAACACATACACACACACACACACACACTCACATAGAGATGGCCCTAAGCAAAACACAGCTTCCTGTGGAGAATGTTGGAGAAAGATACAAGTAGGATTCCATCTGTCTGCCTGTCTGTCTCTCTTTCTCTCTCTTTCTTTCTCTTTTGCTCCTTCTTTCTCACTCTATCCATTCCTCCAAAGCTGCCAGACACAATCCCAGCGTTTCTTTTGTGTTTTTCTTCACTTTAAGATACACGAAAGTGGCACTGAGCATAAGGGTAGAGCGCACTTGAGTAGGCCTAACGGACAGGTCCCCTCGCTTTGTTTTCCGTCTTCTTCTCTGTCTTGTAATTCTCTTTAATTGTAGCTTGGAAGCATCTGAAGCCGTCCTGCCAGTTTCTCATGTTCTTACTCCTCCTAGAGAGTCTGGTGGGACTCCCTTGAGTGAGTGAAGGCAGCATTAGGAGTGGGCTGGTCCAGAAGCCGAGAGACCTTTCTTTCTCCTTTTTTTTCTTTCTCCTTCCCAGGGCATCCCTCTGGAGCTCCTGTGTAGTCCTGCCTCTGCTGGCCCTCACCTGGATGTCGGCAGTGCTGGCCATCACCGACCGCCGTTCGGCTCTCTTCCAGATCCTCTTCGCAGTCTTTGACTCCTTGGAGGGCTTCGTCATTGTCATGGTTCACTGCATTCTGAGAAGAGAGGTGGGCATTGGAGCATGGATGATGAGAGAACATCTTCTGACCTTTAGAAGGACACGTTCTTGTGGAAATAGGAGGAGGTGGCAGGACTGGAGAGAATGTTGCCTTCTAATAAGAGTCTCGTTCCCTTCCATCCTTCAGTTCTGTTGAAATGGTCTACATTTTGGTGGCCAAGGGACACACAACATTTGGGGGAGGTGGGCAACCCTAAAGTAAATGATGTGGACAGGAGTGGATCATTTATACCAGTGTTTCTCAACCTTGGCATCTTTGAAATCCACATATATTTGAAATTTACTGGAATATAAATGGCAGACTGGTTCTACTAAATTCAGTGATCAGCTCCAGGTTATTTTTCCCCCTAATTTAGCACATTCAGATATGTTGGATAGATAGATAGATAGATAGATAGATAGATAGATAGATAGATAGATAGATAGATAGATAGATAGATAGATAGATAGATAGATGATAAGTAGATAGAGGAAAGAAAGAAAAACGAAGGAAGGAAGATAGAGAGAGAAAGATGAAAAGATAGGTGGTAGGTAGGTAGGTAGGTAGATAGATGGATAGATAGGTAGATAGATAGATGATAGAAAGATAAAAAGATTTAGATACTGTAGGAAGAAAGATGATAGATAGATAGATAGATAGATAGATAGATAGATAGATAGATAGATAGATAGATAGATAGATAGATAGATAGATAGATAGATAGATAGATACATAGATAATAAGTAGATAGATGAAAGAAAGAAAAACAAAGGAAGGAAGGAAGATAGAGAGAGAAAGATGAAAAGATAGATGGTAGGTAGGTAGGTAGGTAGATAGATGGATAGATAGGTAGATAGATAGATGATAGAAAGATAAAAAGATTTAGATACTGTAGGAAGAAAGATGATAGATAGATAGATAGATAGATAGATAGATAGATAGATAGATAGATAGATAGATAGATAGATAGATAGAAGCATAGATGATAAGTAGATAGATGAAAGAAAGAAAAACAAAGGAAGGAAGGAAGATAGAGAGAGAAAGATGAAAAGATAGATGGTAGGTAGGTAGGTAGGTAGGTAGGTAGATAGATGGATAGATAGGTAGATAGATAGATGATAGAAAGATAAAAAGATTTAAATACTGTAGAAAGAAAGATGATAGATAGACAGACAGACAGACAGACAGACAGACAGACAGACAGACAGATAGATAGATAGATAGATAGATAAAGATAGATGATAGATATAGATCAAAGCATAGGATAAGTAGATAGATGAAAGAAAGAAAGAAAGAAAGAAAGAAAGAAAGAAAGAAAGAAAGAAAGAAAGAAAGAAAGAGAAAGAAAGAAATAGAGAGAGATGATAGAAAGAAAGATATAGATACTGTAGAAAGAAAGATGATAGATAGATAGATAGATAGATAGATAGATAGATAGATAGATAGATAGATAGATAGATAGATAAGAGAGAGATACAGTAGATATACAGTAAATATATATTTATAAATTTCACAGATGCATACATAGAAACACACCCTTCTTGTGTAATTCAGTCTATTGTAAACCATTCTTGGAAAATTCCAAGTTGATGGCCTTCAGACGTCTTTTTTAAAATCTAATAATAAATAAAACTATTTTATTTGCCTTTTAAAAAAAAAATCGTTAATTCCTTGTGTCGATGTTCACGATGACAATGATGATCAAGAAAAAGAAGAACACAAAATGTGCTGCATACGTCGGGGCAGACTTTCAGCAAGGGGGAGAAGCTCCCTTCCATTTTAGCCGACTTTCCTACTGCTTAACTAATCTCAGCAGCGGTTATGAAGTTTTCCTTACAGTTTTGTTAATGGTGACTTTTAATGGCTGTGCAATTGCCCGAAAGCCGAAGCTCATTAGCAACCTAGCCCATATTTCACGCAGCGCAAGACTTGAAATTGATTCCGCCTAATGCGACAACTTTTTTTTTCTCTAGGTGCAAGATGCTGTTAAATGCCGAGTGGTGGATCGTCAGGAAGAAGCCAACGGAGATTCCGGAGGATCGTTCCAGAACGGACACGCCCAGCTTATGGTAAGTGGGAAAAAAATGCTTCAAAGGAGAGGACAGATGTAGCTTGTATGGCTCCAGTGAACCAAGATGGCACATACAGGCTGGGAATGTTTGGAGATTAAAACATAGGAAGAAGAGTTGCGGGAACTGGGCATATCTAGTCTAACAAAGAGAAGGACTAGGGGTGAAGTGGAGAGATCTGGCCCATAGAATCACCAAGAGTTGGACACAACTGAATGGAGAACATTGTCGTCATCATCACCATAATAATAATAATAATAATAATAATAATAATAATAATAATAATAATAATAATAATAATAATAATAATAATAATAATAATA